CTCCGTGTTTGTGACAGGGGGGGTCTCCCAACCACCCCGTGGAGCGTGAGCTTAGCATTTCCCTCCGGATCAAACCGCGCTGAAGGAAAAGGCCAAGTTTCTCCTGCCACCCACATAGACCTGGTCAACATCCTGCACCCGCTCAGCGCCCGGCTAAGGAACAGGCAGTGCTCTGCACCAATTTGCTACTTCCATTATCTTCCCGCTGATAAGAAGACGGGTATTTCTGCCCCTCAAGCTAGACCCACCTACAAGGGAGAGTGGACAACCCCTCCTCCTGGGCAGGAGGAACTTTTGGCTGAGCTTGGCTGGGTCCCCTCCCCCGGAGGGCAAGCAGCTGTACTGGGGACAGGGAGCAGGACTGCCTGGGTTGATGAAACACCTCCCTCGCCCCTTGTCTGTGTGAAGCCTGGAAGTCACAAGTGGCACAGTGATCGCATTTATCCAGGGCAGCGGGGGACTGGGACATCCCAGATAAGAACAGGTCCTACAGGACACGGTGAGGAGGGAGAGACACATCCAGCAGGCGGCTCTGGGGAATCCAGGTCAGGTTATTGGCTTCGGCTCAGGCGAAGCCGTGCAAGACACCCGATAGCTCCACGCCAAGCCAAGCAGACAACTCAGCACCCTGCCCCCAGAGAAGCTCAGTAGCTGGGGCACAGCAGGGCCCTGCCTGCGGCTCCGACGCCTGCAGCACAGCTCTTGGCTAGCGGCGCCTGTTGCCTAACGCCGACGGGATGGGGCTCGCGCCCCCAGCACCCTGCTGCAGCAAAGGGCACAGCTTTTGGGCTGTGAATGCCCCAGGCGACTGCGAGGCGAGGGAGAGGGGAAATTCCCCGGGTTGTGCCGATGGAAAGTCACATCGGTTCCCCCAGAGCAGCAACAGGAGGAGAAGCCGTACTAGGCACTGACTGTACCTGCCAGTGTGTAAAGAAACTGCTCCTCTCCTTGCTCCGTCTGGTTTTTCCTGTTGTCCAGAACCTTCTTGACGGTGTCCATCAGGCCAAACGTGTGGGCAACGTTGTTCAAGACCGCAGCATCTGCAAGGGAAGCGCAGGGGGATGGGGTACTCAAAAGATGCCCCTATTACGCCACACATTTTCTGCTGCTTTTCATCAAAACTATTTCTGTTCTTTCACCAGGGCTGGCTGACAAGGGCAGACCCAGCTCCTGCATCCTTCTGACATCCAAGGACTAAATAATCCCATTCACCTGATAAAGAAACTGAAACGGAGATGTGTCACCCAAGCAGCTCCAAACTGCCGCAAATGAAAGCATAATTTGCAATCACAGAGAGACAAACGAGCTCTCCACCTACAAATCATCACCCCATGCTGCTGACAGTGTCATTAACATGCCAGCTCCACTGAAAGCTGTGCAAAATTTCTATTATAATCCACTGACTTCAATCACTCACAGCTTCCAAAAGCTGCCACCTACCAGACACAAAGATCCGCCAGCCCAAAGCTAAATTAGAGAATTCAAAAAAATAACAATATTCCGGGTAAAATGAAGTTTGTGGCTACATGGATGTTCTCTCAGCATCAACAAGAGGTGCTCTCAAACCCTGTGCTCACAGGGGCATGTGCTGAACGGGATTAGGGAACTGATCCAAGTTAAAAATAACCCTAAAGAGGGGAGGGGAATTATTTTTAACCCAGATCAGTTGCCTCATCTGGTTCAGCCCCAAAAACAGGTTTTCTGGCACAAGTGAAGACAGAACGAGAAGTGAGGGGGCAGGACCTGTTTGAGCCTGCACTGCCACGGAGAAAAGTGTTTGAATAACTCTGGTCCAAGAAGTTCCTGAGGGCTGGGAGCTGAGGACGGTCTCCGAAGCCGCCAGGGGCGTTTTGCTCGGGGAACGGGGTGGCGCGTTGTGGCCTTGCGCCTCGAAGCCGAGGCACTGCACAGCTGGGCACCCCCAGGCTCAGCTCCTGAGGGGTAACTCGCTCGCCATCCCGCCTCGACAGCTTTCCCTGCTGGGGCTGGACCCTCACCACTCTTTTTTTTTGCCTCCAGCTGCCCCTTCCGAGCGTCACTCCCCACCGCAGAGCCAGAGGCTGTGGCGCTCACAACCTACCTGTCATCTGGAAGGGAGACTGACCCAACCTCTGCTGGACGCCCCTGAGGACTTCTTCTATCTCCTTCTGGATGTTGCACACCACCTCTTCCATCAGCCCCACGTCAGCTATTCCTTTCCAGAACATCAGCGTGTCCTCTGGCACAAGGAGAGCGAAAAAGAAGTCAATTACGTACAAGCATTTGGCATTTTCCCCCCAAGGCTACCTTCAACCTTTCAGGCAAAGCAACTTTGCAAGATGACTTCTAATTTGGCCATTGGGGTGGATATGACATGCAAAAAAACCCAAACCCCAAACAACCCAGAAGAAGCAAAATAGATCCAGGCAGCAAATCAGTAGCTTGTTTTCAAGCAGCACCGTGTCTTCCAAGGCAACGTTTCTGTTCAGCTCTGTTCAGCTTCGCAAGATGCAGCGCTTAAAATGTTTGTTTGAGGAAATTCTGCCCAAGAATTCTGGACTGATGCTAAAAGAGACAGACTGCGAGGCACCACAGCCAGAGAGGCCCAGCCAAGAGAGCTGACCAGGTGCTACCACGGGCGACAAGACACTGCTCACTGGTGGTTTCAGCCCAGCTCCGGGTGGGCAGACATCCACATCCTCAGAATGAACAAAAAAAACCCAAACCCCAAAGCCCCTCGCTGTAACTAGTACCAACTGACCTGGGGGATCACCCAGCAGCCACAAGGCTGAAGTCCCCCTCTGCCTGCAGCGGTGAGGAGCTCCATTTGGCAGGGAGCCTGCACGCCTGGGGAACGCTGGGATAGCCAAGGGGCTGGGGGGCAGCTCGGTCATTGCCTAAACTCTCCTTATTTTCAGGATTTCGGTCTCCAGAGTGTAACAGGGGAGGAGAAGGGAAGAAAACGCCCAACAAGCAGCCTAAGCTTACCCGAGATCTCATCCGTGTCCTTTTTCACGCCTTCCTCAGTGGCCATGGTGACGGCAGCCGTCAGGGCCGAGTTCCACTCGATCCCCTCCTCCATGCTCTCCTCCGACAGCGCGATCTGGGTGATGCTCCCTGCCAGAGAGGCAACGTCAGCTCCCTCCACAGCA